CTCCAGGAGTGGCGTGGGGCGGTCTGGGAGCCGTGCGAGAAGCCCCGGTAGATGTGGTAGTTTGGGGTCTGGGGCCTCCCAAGAGAGTAGGCAACACAGCGAGCCCGAGTGGACTCGAATACACTTTACCCAGTGCCTACGGCACGGGGACGGGTGTGAAGATTCGGGCGACTCGCCCAGCCTGTTGGTGTGCGGCCAGGGGGAGCTCTTCGGACGGGAGAAATGTGTGAGGAGGGTTGGCGGAGGGGGAGGAGGAGTGGGATGAGGGGAAGGGGCATGATGATGAAGAGGATGAGGATGAGGATGAGGAGTATGAGGATAATGGTGGTGGTGGTGGTGGTGATGATGATGAGGATGATGATGAGGAGGAGGAGGAGGAGGAGGAGGAGGAGGAGGAGGAAGAGCCCAGGACGAGCTCGTCAGCGCGAATTGGGCCTCCCAGCACGGTGCTGTGCGCCGAGAGCTGGTGGTGGCGGACAAGGTCTCGGCACCTCGTCGTCGCCGCTGCTGCCACCGCCGCTGTCACCTTCGTTCTCGTCATCTTCGTCGTATGAGTTTTTCGTTCTTGCCGTTCTTCGTCGTCTGCGTTGTCGTCGTCGTGCTCGACGTCTTCGCCTTCGTCGTCGTCGTCGTCGTCGTGGTGGTGGAAGTCGTCGCCGTCGTCGCCCTGTTCGTCGTCGTCGTCGTCGTCGTCGTCGTCGTCGTCGACGACTTCTTCGTCCTTCATCGTCGCTCATCGTCGTTCATCGTCGCTTCGGATGTTCTCGGAGGCCCGCGGACGCTTTCAGATGGCCGCGGCTGTTGTCGGAGGATCTCGAGCAGCCTTGGAGCAGCCTGCCACTGCGGGGAGATGGGGTTCTGCCCAGGCGGTTTCGACGACGGAGGTGCCCAGACCGCTCAGGCGTCGCGGCCAACTCACGCTGGGGGTGCTTTTCCTCAATCACTGCCTCCAGGGACACTTACTCGGGCACTGGGACAGTTGACAAAATCACCCGAGGCGTAAACACGGTTTTTAGGGATGCGGTCTGGAGCTCCGGGGTCCTATCTAGCGAATAAATATACTGGGAGGTCTGGAATTGGTAGGCTCCACCTCTTTTCTGTTGACTCCTGCCTCGCTCGTTCCCTGCCCCCTGCTCCTGCGCGCGGGAGTGCGTGCGGGTGGAGGGTGGAGAGGGTAGGGGAAGATATTATGTTGACGATGATGCTGGTGCTGGTGCTGTTGATCTTTCATCTCGAAATAATGCATTCCAATGTTTTTAGACGGGGTTCTTGCTATTTCGTAGACGCCTGCGGACATCCTTCCTCCTCGTCCTCTTCCTCTTCGCCATTCTTGTATCACTCTTATACTCTCATACTCAGATTACTCACACCCATCACGTGGTTCATCACAGACCCACTTTTTCACGAGGTCCATCACAGACGCATTCTTCCTCGCGCAGACTCAGCCACATCACTTCCTCACTCAGACTCCCTCAGACTCAAACCCACTCAGACTCGCTCACACCCACTCAGGCAATAGCCTCAGACGCACTCTCACTTATACACATTCAGACTCTCTCACGCCGACTTTTCTGGTGGTCCACTGCTCACCGCGATATTGCAGGCGTGGCATTTTGGAGGAGGAGGAGGACGAGGAGGAGGAGGAGGATGAGGAAGAGGAGGAGGAGGAGGAGGAGGAGGAGGAGGAGGAGGAGGAGGAGGAGGAGGAGGAGGAGGAGGAGGAGGAGGGAAGAGGGAGGAGGGAGGATGGATGGACGAGGGGGCGATCAGCAACCGCAACGGCAGCGGCTCGGATTGCCGAGGTCGTACGCCGCGCGCGGGGTGATCGTCGAGGAGGGGATGATGAGGAAGGAGGTGAGGGGAGATCGGGTGAGGGGGAGGAGGGGTAATGGTAGATGATGCAAGAGGGGAGGAGAGGAGGGGGTGGTGGTGGAGGAGATGGCTGCAGGAAGGAGTCAGGAAATGATGACGAACAGCCTGGGGCGCCGACGTGGATCGCCGCGGACGGAGCGTCGAGGAGGGGGAGGAGGAGGGGGGTGGAGGAGGGAGGAGGGAGGATGGAAGGAAGAGATTGGCAAGAGGATAGGGGAGAATGGGGCGAGGAGGAGCGTCGAGGAGGAGGAGGAGGAGGAGGAGAAATGGTAGGGAGCAGGGAGGAGCAGGGATGATGATGATGCTGATGATGGTGATGCTGCTGATGATGATGCTGATGATGCTGCTGCTGATGATGATGAGGATGAGGATGAGGAGGAGGATGAAGGATAACGTGATGCGCAACGTTATGTGGACGTTCGACAGGGCACTGAGGGTGCCTTAGGGGCGCTATGGTGGTTCTAGCTCCCTTCCTCTGCTCTCTCATTCTCTCCTCTTCATCGCTCCATCCCCATACGATGCTACTTGGAGCTTCCTGCGTGATTGACTGAGGTACCAATTCGTGACATGATCCATTTCGTCCCCACCAAAGGCTGCTGAGCGATGAGAAACAGTCCCAGAAAGATGAAGGCTGCATCAGCATTGCCTGCGATACTACGTCTGCTCGTAGTATAGATCGATTCGACTACTTACCTCGAGGGGCTCGATTCGACTCGGCCGATTCAATTCTGCATGCGATCCGATTGATGTGCGATTCAGGGTGGCCTCTAGACAGCCACGGGTAGAGCTCTGCTAAGCGGCTCCGAGCAAATTGGAAACGAAGGTCGCTCCGCATCGCCAATGCACCGGTGATGCGGTGCGACCTGGCGACCCTTTTAGTGCCACCCCCCTGTCGTGAAGTCGGGCGTGCCCCTCTCCAGGAGGAGTGTTCAGAAATAGTAAGAAAACAGTCTGGGGTAGATTTTTTTTTTTTTTTTTTTTTTTTTTTTTTTTTTTTTTTTTTTTTTTGACAATGTTTGGAGACATGCCCAACCTAACCCTGTCGGGGAAACGTAAGACTCGAGTAAGCCGGAATGCGGGTTTGCCGACGTTCTCTGTCGAGCGCGTCCTGGATGTTGACGGTCCAGTTTTCGTGGGATGTGTGCAGCGGGAGCTCGCGTCGAATTTCAGATTGGGTCCCGTCGTTTTCATTGCTGTCCCCATCGGGCCAACCCGAGTCCCCCGAGCCCGAGTCCTACGTCTCCCCGATCCTGGGCTGCTATCTAGGGGTCCTGGAAGGGGGGTGCCCGCAGGGCCGCGAGGGCCGCTGCGCTTCGGGCTCTCAGGGCTCCGCCGGAGAGCTGTCGCTTTCCAGAAGGTCGGGGGTGGGCAGCAGAACCCCCAACAGTGACACGTCGATTAGTGAATTGTCCGTTTTCGGTTCTCGAGAGGGCGCCGTGGCCGTTATTTTCCAGGCTTGCGCCCGCCAGATTTGGGCCTCAGGTCGATTTCACTAAACCACGTTTTACTAAAGGGGGTTCTGTCCATCCCCGAGAAGGGGCGGCGCCATCGGCGGTCGGCAATCTTGCCCGTTTTCCGGCTTCGGGATGCGTTCCAGCGGCCGCGTCTCGCGGAGAGCGTGTCGGGGGTGTCCAGATACGTCCCGAGCGGCCGCCGGAGACCCGAGGTGTGACCCGAAAGGGGAATTCGGCGGCGCGCTTGGGGAGGAGGTGAGAGGGAGAAGGCCTTCCCAGAAGGCGGCGCTCCTGGCGCTCCGCGCAGGGCAGAGCGCAAGATCTGGGTGACTCCTCCTCCTCCTCCTCCTTCCTCCTCCTCCCTCCTCCTCTTCCTCCTCCTCCTTCCTCCTCCTCCGCCTCCTCCTCCTCCTCCTCCTCCTGGGGCACGAGCCCTGTGGTTCCTCGATGCCCCGAGAGGTCTACCTCCGCTTCCGCCGCGCGGAGGGCAACGTCGCCGCGGCCACCCCGCCACTGCGCGCCCCTAAGGCCAGTGGCACCGAAGCCGCCTCTTCATTAGGCTATGGCTAATGCCCGCCGCCGTCGTCGTCGTCGTCGCCGCCGTCGAAGTTACTGCCGCTGCCGCCACCGCCACCGCCACCGCCACCGCCACCGCCGTCACTGTCGCCATCGATATTCAGTCTTGAACGCACCTGGGACCCAGCCGTCTCTTGCTGATTCGACGTCGCCGCAAAGGTCATGGAATTTAGATCAATGCTCCTCCCACTCCTCCCCCTCCTGCTCCTCTTCCCCTCCTCCTCCCACTTCCTCTCACCCTTCCCTCCTTCCTCCCTTCTCCTCCCCCTCCCCCGCAAACGAGAGAGCCGTTCGAAGCGCTGGAGGCACTTGGGCTGGTGAACTGCCGCCGAGAGGATGATTGCCTCCGGCGATAGCGCCCTCAGAACTAAGAGCCTATGGACATTTAAATCCTGAAATGCCGCCCCCCATTTCGGCGCACCCCTCACGCAGATTCTTGGCCTCGGAGTGCCAGGAATGGCGTTCTGGGAGGAGATGCTGACATCGGAATGCCAGACATGGCGTCGTTAGTCCTTTGCGAAAGGTACGGGCGCGACCTCGACCCTTTCGGGTTGAACGCCGCCCCCGTGCCCTTCCACAGGGGCCGCCCCGTGGAGGCTGGACATGGCCCCCTGGGTTCCCGAGCGGCTATGGCCGCCCCGTCGCGCTGACACTCCGCGGCGCGCTCAAGCGCCACGGAGCCAGCGCGGCAGGACGACCACGGCCGCCCAGAAGCCCCCCTCCCTCGGGAGCCTCTCGCCGAGAAGCTCCCAGAGGAAGGCGCAGCTGCGCCTCGTCGACGCTTTTCTGGGGGCGCCGCGGTGGGCGGCGGTGGTGAGCGGCGCAAGCCGGGTCTCAACGCACCGCTACGATTCCGCCGTGGCGCGGTGGAGGGCTCGGCCCAGCGCCAGCGACACGGTGTGGGGACAACATCGTCGCCGTGTTGAGATCCATACGTCTTGGGCCATGGGTGGGTTGGGCACGTCCAACAGGCTGCGAGTTTGGGCCAGTGGACCCTGAGCCCTAAACCCTAGATCTTGGATGATTGTCTCCGGTGATTGCCTCCGCGCGCGGAGCCGCGTGAGCGGCCTGCGCAAGCCGTCGCGTAAGGTCGCCGCGAGCCATGGGGGCAGGCGTGCGCGTGCGGGACGCACCCGCCCACGCAGCACTCGCCTCGCCGCCCACTGCGACGGCGTGGCCGGGCCCAGCCCTGGCGACGGCGAGGACGACGGCAAGGACAGCGACGAGGACGACGACGGCGAGGACGACGGCGACCACGACCCAGACGGCGAGGAGAACGACGACGACGCGGACGACGACGACGACGCGGACGACGACGACGAGGACACGGACGACGACCACGAGGACCTGCGGCGACACGTACCGACAAGGCAGGCCCAGCCCCCCCCCCCCCCCGCCCCGCCGTGCGCCATCGTGCGCACCGCACTGGGAGGGGGGCGGGCCTCCCAGGGCCGCCTTTCTGCGATCCGCCTCGGTGCGCTCCGCTCTGCCGGCCGGAGCCTCGCCTCCGCTCCGCTTCGCTTCGGCTCGGCTCACCGGCATCGGCTGGGGCCGACCTTGACGAACCAACAACACACACCCATACCCATAGGGGGATCGGAGAGGGCTAGGGGTGCGTGTTGTCGGATGGGGGTCCCCGCTCGAGCGGGAGCGTTCCCCAGGGTCCGACAACCCGCACCCATACCCGTAGCCAGTCCTCATCCCAACGACCTCCCTATGGGTATGGGTGTGTGTTGTTCGTTCGTCAGACCTGGGGGGCCACATGCGAACCCTACCCCTACCCCCCACGATTTCGGAGGGGGAGGGTGGGGTTCCCTTCGTTCGGGAGCTCCGGAGCGCAGGGAACCCCACCCTCCCCCTTCCGAAATCGTGGGGGGTAGGGGCAGCGTGGGTCGCATGTGGCCCCCTACGACCGGAGCCGGGCGTGGCGATGCAATCTCGATCCGATTCATGGCGCTGCGCCGGCGATCCGATGCGTTTCCGGCCCGATCCGATTTCGCGATGCGGTCCCGTTCGGGCTCAAGCTGGGCCAATCCCTCTCCACGGCTCGACCATCGCCGATGCATCGCCGATGCGGCTCGATGTGGAGCCCGACTTGCTTCACGTCGACGTCGCCGATGCATCGCCGACATCGACGATGCGTCGCCGGTGCATCGCCCATACATCGCCGATGCATCGCCGATGCGGCGCGATCCTCCGACCCCATTTATTCCGACCCCATCCAGGAGGCCTCTGATTGGCCCGCATCTGCTCCTGGAAAGTCCTCCCAGCAGTTGCCTCGAAGGATTGCAAAAAAAACCCAGGGTTTTGCAAAAAAAACAGGATTGCAAAAAAAACCCTCCAGGGTTTTTTTGCACGAAGGATTGCAAAAAAACCCAGTTTTTTTTGCAATCCAGGGTTTTTTTGCACTCCCTCCCTCCCTCCCCCAGGGAGCGTCGGGCGCTGGCCCATTCTCTGGCGGCCGAGGGCCCTGGGGACCCCGGGGGCGCCCAGCTCGGCCCCGCTGGCCTCGGGCAAGAGGTGTACCAGTCGGGCACTGTCCCATTACAGGAGGGACCTCCCAGGGCAGTCAAAACATGGCCTGGGGACGATTTGTCGATCATGTCTGGCCATCTTGGGCTATCTTATGACTATTTTTTTATTTTTCTTTTATGACTAGGCTTTGTTCTTCGTCGGCACAAAATCCGCCTGTGGGGGGACGCGCTCGACCCAGGGCAAGGTTTTTTGCTGCCCGCGAGCAGGTCCTGGACCCTCCCGGCCCCGAAGAGAGGCCCGCCTCGCCCCGGGTCCGTGCCGGAGGCGAGGCCGCGCCGCGTCCGCCCGGCTCCCGCGCGGGGGGGGGATCGGACACTGACGCGCCCGATTTTCACCACCCACCAAACCACCCCAACCCAACCCGAAGGCTCAGATTTACCCTCGATTTCCAGTCGGGGGGGGGGTCGGGAAACATTGAGAAAACACATATGGAACCCTTACCCCCCCCAACCCGAAATTCGGGTCTTCGGGTTGGGTTGGGGTGGTCTGGTAGGTAGTCTGGTTTGCGTGTCGTTCCGTTGGATGGCCTCAGGCTCGTCCCCAGCAGCATCTTTCGAGTAGGGGATCGACCAGAGAATCGAGGTACCCCAAGATTGATGGGCTCGTCGACGACGTCAAGGGAGCATGTAGTGTTCGTAGACCCAGGAGCCTTGAGCGCATTTCTTGTACACTCGATGTAGGGGTCGATCGATTTTGCAGTCGATGCCCCACTCGAACCCTCCCCCCTCCAGAACCCCCTCGAGCCCTCTCGCCGGCGTGCGTGCTGGAGCCGGGGGCGGCAGAGGGGAGGGGGAGGGCGAGGGGGAGGGCGAGGGGGAGGGCGAGGGGGAGGGCGGGGGGGAGGGCAGAGGGGGAGGGCGAGGGGAGGGCGAGGGGAGGGCGAGGGCGGGGAGGAGGGCGAGGAGAGGGCGAAGGGAGGGCGAGGGAGAGGGCGACGGCGGGGAGACCCAGGGGCCCAGACCCGCCCCGCTCTGTGACCAGCGCTGCGGCGGGAGGCGTCTCTCGCTTTTTTGTTCGGCCTCCGCCGACGTCGCCGAGGCACCGCCGCTGCAGCATCGCCGAGGCATCGGCGATGCCTCGGCGGTGCGGCGCGATCCTTCGACCCCATCTGGGAGGCCTCTGCCCGCGCCCCTTGCCCCAGGGGCCGCGGGCCGCGGCCGAGCCGCACGGGCACCTGGGTGCGCCGGCGCCGCGGGGGCGGCAGCCCGTGGAGGCAGCTGCCGCCAGGGCAGTGCACGGGGCGCCGTCGTCGTGGCCGCCGCCCGCCCCCGAGGAGAGTTGTTTGGGGCAGGGGGCAGTTTGCCGACAAGGAGGCTCTGACGAGATGGCGCAGATTCCAGGAGATGTCGTGTTTGCAAGGCGAGCCAAAGTCGTCGCCGCCGTCGCCGGCGTCGCCGTCACTCTCGTCGTGACAAGCGCCGCCGCTAGCGCCGCCGCCGCCACTGCCGCCGCCGCTGCCGTCGTCGTTGCCGACGCCGCCGCCGCCGCCGCCGCCGCCGCCGTCGTCGTCGTCGTCGTCGTCGTCGTCGTCGTCGTCGTCGTCGTCGTCGTCGTCGTCGTCGTCGCCGTCGCCGTCGCTGTCGCCGTCCTTCTGCCCCTCCTCAGGCACATGCGCTGCAGCAGCGGCCGCACGAGCGCGGCGCGGAGTCGGGGCCGCCGTGGGTCGGCGGCCCGACGCTGCCGGAGCCCGGGCTGGCGCTCTTCGAGAAGGCCCGGCCGCCGTCGGCGCCGCGCCTCGAGCCCAAGCTCCTCGAGCCCAAGCTCATCGAGCACGCCGTGCACAGGATGGTGCCCTCCAAGCTGAAGGGCGAGGTGCTGCCAGTCAAGCCTCGGAGCATCTCTTGTAAGCCGCACGCCACGATGGTGGAAGAGGAGAGGATCAGGTCCACCTCTCACCCCGCGAGGTCTCGGTCAGATCCGCCGCCGAAGTCTTGGTCGCCATGGGGGTCGTTGAACTCGCCATGCCACTCGGGCTGCCTCGCCAGCGCTGACTTACCGTTTAGCTGCTCGGACTTTGGCAATGCCGTGGGTTGGAGCAGACACAGCAGCCCACACGCGCACGAGCAGGTCAGCCCCACTGATGCGCTGGACAAGCAGTCTCTTCACGACAGCAACATCTTCTCGGGCAGCGGGTCGGGCTCCGAGCTGCAGAGCAGCGAAAGCAAGTGCCCGTCAACAGAGTGGGAATTCTCGGAGTTGCCACACCCAGTGCCCATCGGCGGGTTCCCCCTACCACTTGGAGCGCAACTGACAGACCGCAGCGTGCACAGCGTGCCATCTGCGCAGCACGGCGGCCGCGAGCCGCCGCTGGCGGTGGGGCGCCCGTACGCTCAGCCCCAGCAGCACTGGCAGCCGCACGACACGCTGCTCTGCGGTGCCAACGCGCTTGGAGTCCAGCATCCCGGCCAGCATCAGCTCCTCGGTGGCCTGCGCGGCCCTCCCGGGCTGGTGCCAGTTGGCCTGGCGCCGCCCGGGGCGGCAGCGCAGCACCCTGGCAGCCTCGTCATCGTCGCCAACTCCGACGCCCTAGCCTGGCAGACCGCAGCATCTTTCGGCACGGTGGTCTCGGGGGGAACCCTGCCGCTCGGGGTCGGCCCGCCGCAGCCTGGGCAACCTCAACCCCTGCAGCCGCGCATGGAAGCGCAGGGCAGTGCGCAGGTGCCGCGCCGCCATGGCACAGGAGGCGCTGGGCCCATGCCTGCGATCTTCATGGTGCCGGAAGCAGCCGCCTCGGCAGCGAGCCGATCCCTCCCACGGGCGGACAGCGCACCGCCGGGCTGCGACCGCGCGGGGCCGCTTTCCGAGCCCGGGGCCGTGGGCACGGCGGCGGCCGCGGCGCAGGCAGCGGGCAGTGCGGCCGGCGCCGCACGGAGGAGGACGTACCGCGCCGGCCAGCGTGAGGCTGCCAAGCGCGAGCGCGCCCTCGTGTCATCACGTGCCGCGCCAGCTGCAGACCACGGCGTGGGCGGAGGGCTGCACCCCGGCCCACCAGCCGAGCTAGCACCGGCGTCGTGGGCACAAGAGCACGCCCGGCCTGCTGTGGCAGCCCTGGCCGCGCCCGCCGCGGCCTCCTCCAGCGCCACCATCTGCGACGGGGAACCGCAGAGGTACGGCGCGGGCGGCGGCTTCTCCGAGGGCATCGCCAGAGCCTCTTTCGTGGGCCGCTCGGCTCGCGCGGGCAGCGCCCCGCCAGACTGTCGAGCCGCGGGCGCGGTGGCCGCGGGTGCAGAGGGCCCCGAGCGCTTGTACTTCAAGCCGAGGCGCCGCGCCGGTGTGCGGGTGCGGCAGAGGAAGGAGTTCGCCATCGCCCGCAGGCGAGGGCTCAACGAACCCGCCGCCGACGCTGCTGGCGTCGGGGCAACCCAGGAGGGGGAAGCGGACCCCAACACAGCGGACGGCCCGGCCGCGGCAGCGGCCACCGGGGTGGCGGCGGCGGTCGCCCCGGTGGGCCCGGTGCGCGCCCGCGCCCGCTGGGCAGACGCGGCATTGGCTGAGGGAGACCTGGGCAACAGCCCCAGGCCCGTGCTGGTCCCACCAAATCCTCGCGGCGCGCAGCATCGGAGGTTGATGGACCTCCTACCCTGACACGCCGATTCAGGCACTGGGCGTTTTCGGTTTGCGAGAGGGCGTCGCGGCCGTCATTTTTGCGGGTCCAGGTCCGTCGGTTTCGGTCCCAGGCCGTTTTCACCAAAGGGTGGCTTACTACAGGGAGGCTTGTCCACCGCCGACAGAAGAGGGGCAGGGCGTGGGGGGCATCTTTGCAAGGCTAGGGGCCTCAGAGAGGGGGCATCTCCCCTGAAAACCATATGCGCCACGCCTTCACGCCAGAGGGCGGGCATGCAAGAAGGCCGACCCCTCGCCCTGCCCCCTTGTGCTCGCCGCCGACAGTCTGAGGGACAGTGGGCAGACAATGCATAGCCGGACCGAGGTATAAGATTGAGGTCGGTTCGGGGAGGGTACTCTATTGTTCTTAGTGTTTGTTGCACTTTGTTGTGCATCTTGGGGCAGGGTGCTCTCGAATGGTCTTCGGTTTGGCCAGCGGATGGTCTCATGTTCTTGAGGGGTGATCTTCTGTCTTAGGTCCGGCCGTAGTCGAATAGTCCCTTGCCATCTCGAAATCCAGCTCAAAGACACGGGTGCAGCGACGCTCTGGTTTCCGTTCAGCCTTGCCCGCTCCTCGCCAGAACAACAAGGTGTCCCCGTTGTCTTGCACCCCGGAGGGTAAGCGGCGCGGCATCTGGCACAGATCGAGTTGGGCCTCGCCACCTTTGGATGCCGCCAGACGCAGAACTGCCGACGCCGACGCCTGGGGCGTCGAACACCTCGCTAGGCAGACGATATGAAACAATATGTACGGACAGCTACTGGGAACCACAGTCAGGTACAGGTGGCAGAACCGGCAGTGTGGGATTCGTGGAAGGACGGCTGCATCTCAAGAGGTGAGGGGACCTACGCCCCCCCCCCCAGCCGCTCCCTCGCGGAGCCACGCGCCAGCGTCCGTCCAGTCCGTGCGTCAGACGCAGAACTGCCACTGCGCTCCTGAAGAGGAATGGGAAGATGAAGAGGAGGAGGAGGAGGAGGAGGAGGAGGAAGAGGAGGAGGAGGAGGAGGAGGAGGAGGAGGAGGCCCCAGAAAACATGGGAAAATATGGGCAGTGTGGGGGGGAGACAGAAACCAAGAAAATATGGGAAATATGGGGAATCCTGTTATTTGTTTGTATTTTTTTGTGTGTCCCAGGGTCCCTTCATCTCGGGCGAAGAGAACTGTGCACATGCACCGATCCTGGCCAGGCCCATCCTCGACCCAGGATCGGTGCACACGCCCTCCCGGCCAAGGTCGGAGGGCGTATGCACCGGTCCTTGGCTCAGGATGGGCCTGGCCAAGATCGGTGTGTGTGTGTGTGTGTGGGTGTGTGTGCGTAGTTCTTTTTCACCTACCCCTCGGTGCTGTCCAGCGCGCAAGCGTCTCCACTTTCCTTGGCGCCTGGGGGGTCCAGCTGGCAGGCGCTGTGCGCGCATCGAGGCGCGGCCTCGTCTTCTCGCTGCTGCCAGAAGCGCGCACTGTCCCCGCCCGGCCACGAGGTCACACGGGTTGCAGCGGATTCGTGTCTCACCCAGATCCAGTGGGGCCTCACCCCCTTGGGATTGGTCAGGTCCACAAGCGCTTTCGCCCGCGACCCTGCGGGGATCTGGGGAGCGGTGTCCTGAGTGGGAGATCTCGGCCCGTCCCCATCGAGTGCTGCCGAGCACACCGAGGTCTCCGCTCTTCCGCACCTCTGAAGATCCGGCGGAGTGGCGTCTGGCGCAGATCCATGTCGTGGTCCTGCCAACATTCTGGGGTTTGTGGGGTTCGTCCCTTTTGTGGGGCGGGCGGGGGCGAGGAGGGGCGAGGAAGGAGGACGCGGATTGAGAGGAGGAAGGGTGAAAAGGAGGAGGAGGAGGATCAGGATCTTGGATCTGTGTTTGGCTGCATCAGAAGTGGCAGTCTTGAGGAGTAGGATGATGATGATGATGATGATGATGATGATGATGATGATGATGATGATGATGATGATGATGATGATGATGATGATGATGATGAAGGTGGATTTGGTGGTGGTGGCAGTCATGATGAGGATGATGACGACGACAATGACGATAACAATGACGATGACGATACTGATTATGATGAGGACGGTGATGCTGATGCTGCTGCCGATGATGATGCCGATGTATGCTGAATATATTGCTGCTGGTGATGGTGGTAAAGTCTGCGATGACGATGATGTGTATTCTGATAATGCAGATGATTATGGTGATGCCGAGTATTATGTCTGAAGATGGTGATGGCACAGATGATGTTGATGCTGATGATCCTGCTGATGATGATGATGATGCTGACGGTGTTGATGATGACGGCGCCGACGATGACGATGATGATGTTGATGATGCTCATGCTGATGATGATGATGATGATGATGATGATGATGATGATGATGATGATGATGGTGATACTGATGATGCTGCTGATGATGATGATGTTGATGATGGTGATGATGGTGATTCTGACGACGATCTTGGTGATGTGATGGTGATGATGCTGCTGATGGTGGTGATATCGATGATGGTGCTGTTGATGATGATGGATGATGATGATGATGATGATGATGATGATGATGATGATGATGATGATGCTGATGCTGATGCCGACAACGATGACGATGCCGACAACCCCGACGAAGACGATGTTCATGGTGTTGCTGATGATGAGGATGTCTCTGAAGACGACGACGATGATGCTGATGATGATGATGATGATGATGATGATGATGATGATGCTGCTGACGCTGATGCTGATGCTGATGCTGATGCCGATGGTGATGCCGATGTATGCTGATCATGCTGCTGATGGTGATGGTGATGACGATTGCGATGGCGATGCTTGTATTCTGATATTGTAGGAGGCTATGGTGATGCCGATGATTTAGTCTGATTTCTGAAGATTTTGATGGCACATACGATGTTGTTGATGATGATGACGATGTTGATGCTGAACATGATTACGCTGATTCTGATGCTAATGATGTTGATGGTGCTGGCGGTGTTGATGCTGATGCTGATGATGGTGATGCTGTCGATGTATGCTAATCATGCTTCCGATGGGGATGGTGAGGACGATTGCGATAACGATGCATACATTCTGATATTGCAGGCGGCCATGGTGATGGTGATGCCGATGATTGAGTATGCTTTCTGAAGATTGTGATGGCATCGACGATGTTGTTGATGATACTGCTGATGATGATGATGATGACGATTCTGCTGATTCTGATGCTAATGCTGGTGATTGTGGTGGTGGTGCTGATGATGCCAATGCTGATGATGGTGATGTTGACGATGAGGATGCTGATTACGATGCTGATGATGATGGCGATGGCGATGATGATGCTGGTGTTGTTGATGGTTAGGAAGAATATATTAAAGACGATGATGCTGATGATGATACTGCTGCTGATGATAAGGATGCTGACCATGGTGATGATTCTGCTGCTGATGATGATGATGCAGCTGATGATGATGCTGATTATTCGGATGCTGATGAGGATGGCGATGGCGGCGATGGTGATGCTGATTCTGATGATGATCACGATGATGAAGGTGATGTTGATGAGGATGATGAGAACGATTCTGATGCTGATGATGACGATGACGATGCTGATCATGGTGATCATGATGACGATACTGATGACGATGATGATAATTCTCCAAATAGGCCTGCCCTACAGGAGTCCTAGCTCAAACCCTACAAATTGGCCCGTTTCCCCCCCAATTCCTATCCCTCCCCCCAATTCCTATGGCTATGGCTATGCCTATGCCTATGCCTGCTTGCTTGCTTGCTTGCTTGCTTGCGCGCTTGCACGCTTGCTTGCTTGCTTGCCTGCTTGCGCGCTTGCTTGCACGCTTGCTTGCTTGCCGAGTTGCGGATTCCAAGTATGCTTGATTCCTCTGATTTCTTGATTTAAGTCGTCTAATCTATTTGGAGTCAACGCTGGCTGATATGATGCTGATGCTGATGATGAGGACGAGGATGGCAATGTTGAGGCTGATGATGATAGTGTTGTTGAGGATGATGATGAAGATGACGATGATGCTGTTTGTTTTGCTGCTGATGCTGATGATGAATATGATGGTGTTTGTGACTGCTGTGAATGTGATGATGACGACGATGACGATGATGAAGGTGGTGGTGGTGGTGGTGATGGTAATGGTGATGATGATGGTGATGATAATGTTGATGATCTAATGATGATGCTGCTGATGATGGTGTTGATAATGGTGATGATGGTGTTGTTGATATGATGCTGCTGATGATGCTGCTGATGATGATGATGTTGAATATGAAGATGAGAATGGTGATGATGAGTATGATGCTGCTGCTGAAGATGCTGCTGATAATGAGTATGATGCTGCTGCTGATGATGATTATGATGATGATGATAATTATGATGATGATGATGATGATTACGATGATGATGATGATGATGATGATGATGATGATGATGATGATGATGATGATGATGATGATGATCATGATGATGATGATGATGATGATGATGATCATGATGATGATGATGATGATGATGATGATGATGATGATGATGATGATGATGATGATGGTGATGATGATGATGATGATGATGATGATGATGATGATGATGATGATGATGATGATGATGATGATGATGATTCTTATTGCGATGACGGTGAGGAGGAGGAAGCAGGAGGATTTGGATGAGGCAGCCCAATGGGTCAATGTAGCTTGGTTACCTGGCCCCAGGCACGAGCTCTGGCCAGTCAGCGGTGACGCCGCGCAGCAGGCAGCCTCGGCCTTGGAAGTCGAGGCTCGGGGCTTCCGAAACCAGAGTGAGAGTCCCAGAGCGCCAACGTCTTGAAACAATCGAGGCGGAGGTATGTCGCCACAGTACCCACGTGATAGTTTTTTATTCATTGTTTTGCCGATCGGCGCGGGCTCCCAAACCCCTTCCCCCCCTCTGAAGCCAGACCCCCCCCTCCCGCCCCCTTTCCGCCCAATGTCGAAAATCATAATCAAAAAAAACGCTCACCATCATATTCCCAGATTCCAACCTACTTTAGGCGCCTTCCTACTTCAATATATAGTCGAGTGGTCCTCCCTCTTCCCTCCTCTTCAGGAGGCGGGCGGAACCCCAATCTACTATGAACGCCTTCCTAGTTCATGTTTCTACCTACTTTTCCGACCGATGGGTAAGCATCCAGGGGCCGTTGCCTTGGGGCCGTCAAAAACAGCTCAGGATCAAAAGCAAGCCTCTGGGCAGGAGTCGGGGGCTCCCTGGCCCGAGCAGTGAAACATGTGACACTTGGTGATCGTTTTTTTATTCATTGTTTTGCCGATCGGCGCGGGCCCTCGCCCCCCTCCTCCCCCCCCATGGAGTGGATCTCGGCTGTTTTTGGCGCCTGTTTCGAGCAGGTGAAGCCTCCCCCATAATCGACGCCCTGTTGCAAACAGTCGCATTGAGCAGAGGTCCAGAGCCAGACCCCCCCCCTCCCTTCCGCCCAATGCCGAAACGCCGAATAAGAAAACGCTCACTTGGTGGTCTGGGATCCGAGACTTCTGACGTGTTTGCTTGTTCCGTGGGCCCTGGGGCTCTCTTCACCCAGCACCGGGACATCTTTCGCTCCGGCATGCTCTTGCGCGCGAATGCTCCCGCGCGCAGCGGCCAGCTAGTTAGCCGCGGCCGACGCGGCCGCGGTGGCGCTGACCGCCGTGCACTTCCCAGCGGGCACTTGAGTGCGAATCGGCCGTGTTGGCGGGCCCGGTATCATGGCGACTCCGACAACGGTAGACACGATTATGTTGAGAGTAGCGATGATGGTGACGATGGTGGCGACGACGACGGCAAGGCCACTGACGGCGCCGATGTTGATCACACCCGCCGATAGCGATGACGATGTCCTCGCGTCGGCGATGCAGGTTGTGGAAGGAGTTCGACATGCGCGCGCGGCCGACGCGCGCGAGTGGCCCGCGTGGCATGCTTTGACGCGGACCGTCTCCCCCCCAAGCACGCGCGCAAGGGCGTTCGGATGAGTTCGACATGCGGCGCGACAGGCCCGTTAGTGACACTTCGATGAACATGTTCGAATACCCATGGTTCCCGTAAGGATCCACAAAACCGCGAGCGCAGGTTTTTTTGTAAACTGATGTTGCAGAGCAGTGTGTTCGACATGTTTTCGGGGCGCTCGTTTTTGAAATTCTTGCGGTAGCTGAGGTTGTTGACGGTTTTCGGTATGCGCGTGCGACGACGCGCCCGCGTGCATTTCGTTCCACTGTTTGCAACGAGTTTTTGCGACAACGCGCGCGCGAGGGTTTCCGAATGATTCCGACGCGCGCGCGGGAGGCCACTTTGGTAGCATTTTTTGTTGAAAATCTATGGTTTCCCAGAGAAATCGCAAGAATGCGGGCGCAGTTTCTTTTTCTGTGGGGGTAAGCCCTAGTTGCTGAACCATGCGGTTTTATGGTCTCGGGGCATTCGTTTTCGATATCTTTGCAAACCCGAGGTTTTTGAAGGATGTCGGAGCGCGCGCTCGACGACGCGCGCGCGTGCACTTAGTCGTGTTTCTTGCAAGGGCTTGTCCGAAACGGGTGATATTTGACAGGCGAGTGCGCGCGCATGTTTTGGCCGAGGATGAGAGGGGGCCCGATGCCGGCCTGCCCGGGGTCGGTGGGAGTTCGTATTTAGGATGGGCGATGGGGCATCCTTTTAAGGAAGGGGAATCTACGTGGTGCAATCTTTGTCATGCAACATATGCTGCTGTGCAGTGTTTGTGACGCAGTTTATGGTTCGACGATCCCCAGGACGGGTGTCAGCCCAAGCGTGCGTTTACCCCGTTCGGCTTCGCCGATAGTGCGCAACCTGCACCGTTGCGCCGCATGCATCGTATTGATGGGCCTCGGTGGGCAAGCTCGCGTTGACACTGACGCAAGTACTGAGAATCATCGAATGATGTGCCATCTTCGTGGTACAACTATGTTGTGCAACCTATGATGTGCAGTCCATGTGGTGCAATTCACTTTGACTGTCTTGAAGCTGTCCTCTCCGCTGCTCGTGCAAACATCCCACATTCCCACCCGCAACTTGGTCGCAAGACTTTTTCAGACCGTGACGGTGGGTACCAAATGGCACTCGGCAACGCCAGCGACGACGCCAACGACAACGACGACGACGCCGACGACGACTACGACGATACCGACGACGCCGACGACGACTTCGACGACGACGACGACGACGACGACGACGACGACGACGACGACGACGACGACGGCGACACCGGCGACAACGACAACGTCGACGACGCCGACGACGACGCGACGACGACTACCAGGGAGGAGGGAGGACGGCGACGACGACGACGACGACACAAGAGCGCGCGCGCACGCTTTTGTTGAAAACCCGTGTTGCGAAACATGGTGTTTTTGTATGTTTTTGGATACTCGATTTTGAAATCTCTCCGAAACCGATGGGTTTTGAAGGATTTCGGCATGCGCGCGCGACGACGCGCGCGCGCGTACACTTCGTCCCGTTTTTTTGTAGAGGATTCTCGCGACGGCACGCGCGCAAAGGCGTTCGAACGATTTCGACATGCGCGCGCGCGAAGCCCGTTTGGTGGTTTTTCCTTTTCGAATATGTGGAACAAGTAATGATTTTCTGAAGAGTTCGCTAGAACGCGCGTGCAAGATCTTTTATTGCGAGCATGCGTTTGTATGTTTTTTGGGAACTCGATTTTGAAATCCTTCCGGAACCGAAGGTTTTTGAAGGATTTCGGCATGCGCGCGCGACGACGCGCGCGTGTGCAATTCGTCCCGTTTTTTTTTGCAAGGGATTCTTGAAAGTTTATGTTTTTTGATCAACGAGAGTGCGCACAGTTTTTTCGCAGAGGATGGCGGGGGGGGCCGATACCGGCCCCTTGTGGGATAGTGGAAATTCATATTGCGGATGGGCGATGGGGCAGAATCCCATGTGTTTTGCATCGGTTCCCGGGGGATGTGTAACCCGCGGGGGTGGGGGGAGGGTGGTAGAACCTGTTCTCTATTTAGAAAGGAGAATATGTGTGGTGCAATCTACGTGGTGCATCTATGCGGTGCAGTTGTTGGTGTACAATCCATGTTGTGCATTTTCTGTTGTATGTGGTGCAGTCTATGTTGTGCAATTGATTTTTACCCATGATTCGACACACCCCATGCTCTTGCAAACATCCCACCCACCCACCCGCAACTTGGTTTGCAAAACCTCTTAAGACCGTCACGGTAGGTACCAAATGGCAATTGGCAGCGACACCGACGCCGACGACGACAGCGACGTCGACGACGACGATGACGACGCCGACGACGACTACGACGACACCGACGACGTCTCCAACGACTTCGACGACGCCGACAACGACGACGACGCCGACGACGACACCGACGACGACGCCGACGCCGACGACTTCGACGACGATGACAACGACGACGACCATGACGACGCCGACAACGACGACAACGACGAAGACGACGACGACGACGACGTCAACGACGCCGACGACGACGACGACGACCACGGCGGCGACGACGACGCCGACGTCGACGACGACGAAGACGACGACGCCGACGCCGACGACGACGACGAAGACGACGACGACGTCGCCAACGAAGTCGACGACGAGGGAGGAGGGAGGACCGACGACAGCGACGAGGGAGGAGGGAGGACGGCGACGACGCGAACGACGAAGAAGGAGGAAGGACGGCGACGCCGACGACGACAACGACGAGGGAGGAGGGAAGACGACGACGACAACGACGACGACGCCGACGGCGACGACATAGGATGGACGACGACGAGACGCCGACGACTGACGACGACGACGACGAGGGAGGAGAAGGAAGGGCGACCACGGCGACAATGACGACGGAAACGACCACGACGCCAAAGAGGACGACGACGACGAACCCAGGGAAAGACAGAGGACGACGTAGGCGACGACGACGACGACGCGGGAGGAGGGAGGACGGCAACGACGACGACGATGACGCAAGAGCGCGCGCGCACGCTTTTGTTGAACATCCGTGTTGCGAAACTTTATGTTTTCGTATGGTTTTTTGGACCCACGATGTTGAAATCCTTCCGAAGCCGATCGGTTTTGAAGGATTTCGGCATACGCGCGCGACGACGCGCGCGTCTGCACTTCGTCCCATCTTTTGCAGAGGATTCTCGCGACGGCACACGCGCAAGGGCGTTCGACAGATTTCGACATGCGCGCGTGCGCGAAGCCCGTTTGGTAGCATTTTGAGAAAATCTTGAAACACCTATGGTTTTCCCAAGATTTCGCAAGACCTCGCGCGTAAGCTTTTTTAGCGAATCAGTGTTGCGAAACCCTTTTTTTGTTTGTTGTTTGGGAACTCGATTGCGAGATCCTTCCGGCACCGAAGTTTTTTTGAGGATTTCGGCATGCGCGCGCGACGGCACGCGCGTGTGCACTTCGTCTCGTTTCTGTGCAAGGGATTCGTGAAACAGTGTTATGTTAGAACCACAGATGTCCTTTTTTCCCCAGCCCTCCTGCGTTGGGTTCTCGTTTTGAATAGAGCACAGCTCGCGCGTCTCCTTCCTTCCTTCCCGCACCTCTCTTCCCCCTTGACTTGCCTTTTGCCTCGCTCGTCGCTGCGTGCCAGCTGGGGGGCTGCGATCTGTGAAGCTGTCGCCACTTTCGAGGCCTGCTGGGGGGCCCAGCACAATGGGTACTCACCGCAGACTCAAATGGGACCTCGCCATCCCTGGGGGCTGCGATCTGTGAAACTGTCGCCACTTTCCGAGGCCTGCTGAGGGGCCCAGC